GGGGGGGGGGGGAAGCAGGCTCCTAAGCAGGGAGCCTGATGTGGGGCTCAGTCCCAGGACCCTGGGATCATGACCTGAGCCGAAGGCAGAGGCTTTAACCCACTGAGCCACCCAGGCGCCCCGACAAGCACGGTTCTTAAGTTCACGTTAGTTCACATTCTGGTCAAGAGTCGGAATGTGATAGTAAATACCAACCACGAGAGACTCTTAGATCCAGGAGACAAACTGAGGGGGGGGGGGGGGGGGGGGGGGGGGGAGGGGGTAATCGGGGGATGGGCATCAAGGACCGCACCGGATGCGATGAGCACTGGGTGTTCTATGCAGCTGATGAATCACTGACCCCTACTTCCGAAACTAATGATACACTCCATGTTAATTAATCGAATTTAACTAAAATAAAATTTAAAAAAAGTAAGCAGAAGTACAAAGTAATAATGTAAAATTGTGGAATTGTTGTCTGTGGCATGTTCTCCAGGTCAGGTCTCCTGTGGAATATGACGGTGTCTCCCTTTTCAGAAGAAGAAAAGGCCCAGGATCCCTAGGAGGTCCCAGAACTGGGAAAAGACCTAGGAGGCACCAACAGCCCACTCTGCACTCCAGGCCACTCTGAAGCGCTCACCGTGTCTTTGCAGAGCAATGTCCTAAGAACCACAGGGGAAGAGACTCTGAAAACCATCTTGTTTTTCCAGGTGGGCGTTGGGGCTTGGGCCACTGTCACCCTCTTCTTCCGTAACTTCTCTCCAGTCTTGCATGGACGCAGGCAGAGGCCTTCCCACACGATTCTCACCCACATGGCTGTGGCCAGTCTCTTGGTTTTCTCTCTGCCAGGATTCCCTACAAGTTGGTGGCTGCAGTTCTGCGGAAGCGCCTGTCTGGTCTCGCGTGTAAATTTGTATATCATACACACAGCGTGGCTCGCAGCCCCACAACGGGCTCCACCTGCATCCTGAACACCTATCTGTTCTTCACACTCATCCCCGGGAGGGTAGTGTGCACGACGCCCAGAGGACAAGCCCCCAAGGTCACTGGTCGTGGCCGTGGCATCTACTGGATGTTCAGTGTCTTTATGAATAGCTGTGTTCCCATGAAAGTCACGGGTGCGCACC